TGATGGATGGATGATGGATGGATGGATGATGGATGGATGATGGATGGATGGATGAATAGAGAGGGAAAGAGGAGAGGGGAGAGAGAGAGAGGGAAGGAGGAAATGAAGGGAATGAAAAACAGTAGAAAAGAAAGTAGAAAACAAAGATAAATGAAAAATGAATAAACTTTTTGCAATTATACTCTATGATGTGAGGGAGTGAGAACATTCTTCACTCGTCTCCACATCGATATCTGATTTTCGGTCGGAGGTGCCTCACCCTGTCATCTTCGCCGTCAATCTCAGATTCACTAATTTTGGTCTTCTTCAACGATTCGATTTCCTAACCAGGGCCTCCAATAACAAGGTGGGATCTCTTCAAGAATTTTGGAACCACAAGCTGGGACGTCTTTAAAAGTGACAGAATCACAATGTAGGGACTTTAACAACTATATTATTACAGACTGCCCCCTCCTGGTCAATATATGAACCATAAACTGGGACCACACTATAAACCTTCACATCCCAAACTGGAGGCTCTTCAATAATCACAGGATCACAAATTGTTGGCTTTTTGGCGGTCTCAGAAGGATGTTGAGGAAAAGAATGGAAAAATTCCTGACGATTACGGCTGACACTAGGAAAATATTCTTCAGTGTCGATCTCAGATTCAGAAAGAGGGATCTCTTCGAAGATCTCAGATTCAGAAAGAGGGATCTCTTCGAAGATCTCAGATTCAGAAAGAAGGATCTCTTCAGNTTAATACCTCAAACACTTGAATTGTAGCTGATATCTCATCTGCTAAGCTGTGCTTGTTATCTGGATCATACCTTTAAAGCAGCTGCTATTGGTACTTACCTTGAACTTTTCTCTCATTTCCAAAGTAGTGCTGGCCCAGTGCTTCTGTATCAATTTTTATGTAAGTGCTCTGTCTGTTTCAACACCAAGTCTGTCGTGGCAGAATCTTATTAACCCTGAGCGTCCTTCTGGCCCAGATCATGCAAAAACACTACCAGAAAATGATTTTGGCTTTGCAATTTCTTTGAAGATGAATACCTTATGAAATTCTTTGAAAATTGATTCAACTAACTGCTGGGTATGGTTTGTAGCAATGTATTTTTTGTGTCTAATATTGCTGGGCTAATCTTTCAAAGGTCAACAACTAAAGACATCTAACTTTGTGACGCTTTGGCTTGGCATAGACCTTAGCTGTGGCTGGATCAATACAGTACACTTCTTTAAAATAATATAAAGGTTAAATGGTCACTATATAAGACAGTTATGTCAGGATGTATAATCATCTGACTGTAAAGGGGAGGAGATTTTATTTCAAAATGAATCTGTTCCTCGTAGTGGGAAAAATGAATTTGACCTTTAGCATTGTTACTATTTCTTGCTTTTAAGTAGAAGACGTTTCAAGGTGGCTTGTGTGAATTTCTTGAGGGGTCAGCACTTTCCCTTAAAGTTTAGGTGCTGTGGCTTAGTTGTTCAAAGTGCCTGTCTAGTAAACAGGAGGTCCTGGGTTCAAATCCCAGCAGTGCCTGACCTGTTGTTATGCAAACATCCGTGACTAGTTTATCTAGCACCAAATATTTACCATCCTTTTTTGGGGGGGCGGTGTCAGGATTTATTTTATCCAAAATCATTTCAAAATGTATATGCAGATGGCGCTGTGGCTTAGTTGGTCAAAGTGCCTGTCTTGTAAACAGGAGACCCTGGGTTCAAATCCCAGCAGTGCCTTTTAACTAAGCATTCACACTTTGGTGGTCATGATGTCCAGTCTTCTTGTAAATCATCTTGAAGAACCTCATGGAAAAATATCATCTAGCCTTCATATTTCTCAGTTGGTCCTTCTCAGCCATCTACAACTAAATAATAGGAACCTGTTTCTTCATATGGCGGCACACTTAAACTTATCAACACTCATTTCCTTTCCCTGCTTTTTCCCAAACGGCGACACAGCCACAAAATGGCACGTGCAAAGTGCACTGTACTTTAATACCTCAAACACTTGAATTGTAGCTGATATCTCATCTGCTAAGCTGTGTTTGTTATCTGGATCAT